GAGAGAGAGAGAGAGAGAGAGAGAGAGAGAGAAAGAGAGAGTGAGAGCAAACTAGATAGACAGATAGATAGAGATACATACTGACAGACATGCGACGTACAGACAGAGATCAAAAGAAAGAGAAAGAGAGAAAGAGAACAAACCACAAAAACAACACTAATTCGTATCATGCACACACACACACACACACACACACACACACACACACACAAGCACACACACACACATACACACACATTTCACACTTCTTAACTAGCCACCAGCTCCCTTGGCCAAACGAATCAGCGTTAGTCACAAAACCGTAATTAACAAGTCCCACTAAATTTCAAATCAGTTTCCCCTGCAATGACTCCTCCATGACTCCCCATCCCATTATCCGTTTTCTATGATTATTACCATCCCCTCCCCCCCTTTTCATCCTAGTCTGTTGCTTGTACTCATTATTTTTTCAGTTTTTATTGTTATCAATATTGGTGTTATTTTGTATTATTGTTGTTATAATCATCATTATTATTATTGAACATAATTATTATTGCTATTACCATTATTATCGATATTTTGATATTGTTATTGATAATGTTATTATTATTGTTATTGTTATTATTATTATACACAGAAAGCTCAACAAACCTTAGTACAATAACAATACGACACACCCCATATTCTTTTAACCGAGTTATTGAAATACAATGTGAATGCCCGTAGATTTTACCGAGAGATCCCTGCCCATTCAAAAAAAAAAAAAAAAAAATCTCGATAGATTCAGAACTAAAATTCACTGGAATGTCTGAAGCAGTTATTTTTCATATTTACTCGTCTGTTTGTTTGTACGTCTGTAAGTCTGTCAGTATCTATACATTCTCTCTCTCTCTCTCTCTCTCCACACACACACACACACACACACACACACATATATAATTCAGATCTACTTGACCTTTCTACCGACTTTCTAACCTCGACCTTAGTCCTGGCAAAAGTTACGCGGGGAACTTTTGCTCTGTAAAGTAAAAAGGGGTCTACCAGGAAGACTATAAAAAGGAGTTAGTGAGCAGGGAGTGCTATGGTTGGGAGGGGGAGGGGAGAGGAGGAGAAAAAGAAGAGGAGGAGAGAAAGAAGAGGAGGAGAGAAAGAAGAGGAAGGAAGAGAAAAGGAGGAGAGAAAGAAGAGGAAGGAAGAGAAAAGGAGGAGAGAAAGAAGAGGAAGGAAAAGAAGAGGAGAGAGGGGGATTGAGAGGGGTGGTGAGAGGAGGGGAGGAGGAGGGAAGGAAGAGAGAAGAAGACAGAGAAGGATATGAGAAGAAAGAGGTGGAGAGGGGGAAGAAAGGTGAAGAGGAGGAAGACAAGAGGAATAACGAGAAAGATAAGGAGAGAAGGAAGAAGAGATGGGAAGGAGTAGATAAGGTGATTGGTTGAAAGAGGAGGACAAAATAGACAGGAGGACGAAGAGGAAAAAAGAAAGATGATGAGGAGAAGGATGGGGAAAAATAAAGAAGGAGAGGATGATGATTATGAGGAGGAGGAAGAGGAAAGGAGGAAGCGAGAGAAAGGAAAGGCACACCTATTTTGAGGTTGAATAGCAGACTACTCTTTTGTTGTTCCGGGCGACGGCACCATTTATCGTGGGTTCCCGGTCCGCCAGCCTCATTGTCACCATTACGAAGTCCCGCCCCCTCGCCACACCTCCGCGCCGTCAGAAATTTCCCTCTTGCCTCCGACGCTTTCCTTATTGATTCGGTCGGGATCCTTGCGTGTTTTTTTTTCTTCTTGTTTTCTTGTGCTTGTTTATTATTAGGGTTATTTATTTCATTCACATCGTTGTTTTTTTTATGTATGAGAGGACACTTATGATATAATCCGTTCAGAATCAAAGTCAGGGTATGAATTAGAGTAATAAACATAACTCAAAGCTCGATATATTCCCAAAAGTTGCGGATACTATCGTTCAAAACGCCTAAACCCGCCACGGTGCGTTGCAATGTGATTTTCGACCCACATTGTAACATATAAAAATGATCCATAAAGATGTTGCAAGTTTTTTATGCGAAAGATTGCTGGATAATTGCGTCGGCTTGTTCATTAAGGCTCCGGAATCGTTGAGAGATATTGTCATTAAAACGCTGCAAGATATTTTTTATGTTCTTTCTCTCTAAATTTTACTCCTGCTATTACATAATAATTGATTATCTTTCCTATATTGATTACTGAAATGTGTATCATCATCGTTAATACTACTGCTACGACTGCTAATGATATTCATAAGCAAAAAATTAAACCGTATTCATGTTGACAAATGTAGAAAAGGTATGAGTGAGAATGAATATCCTCACAATTCAAGAGATTGTTTAACCGGTATCGAACATTTCTTCGTCTGACGAAGATGTATTCGAAACCGGTTAAATACATCTCTTGTATTCATTCTCATTCATTCATTTTATACAAGGATGTAATGACATTAGGAATAACGATAATGATAATAATAACGATAGAAAATAATAAAATAAGACTAATGGTAATAATAATAATAATAAAAATAATAATAACAATAATAATAATGATGATGATAATAATAATAACTATTATTATTATTATTATTATAATGATTATCATTATTATCATAATGATGATAATGATAATAATGTGAAAAAACGTTAATAATGATAACAATACCAACAATTACGAAAACAACACTGATAATAATAACAGTAATAATAATAATGATAATGATAATAGTAGTAATGGTGATAATAATGATGATATTGGTGATAATATTAGTGATAATTATAACAGTAATATTGATAATAATAGTCCTCCTGTGTATAAATTGCTGCGAATCTATACATAAAAAAATAACTCCAGGCATGTAATTCAGATTTAAAAAATATATATATATATATAGATATAGATATAGATAGATAAACGGAATTAGTACTCACTATATAAGAGTTCACCTTATTTATAATTACAGTCACACACTTCTCCCACACACATAGATTTCCCCTAACTCCCACCCCCAAACACACACACATACACCCATACACTCCAACCGACCCCCAACACATCCCTCTATCCCTCACACATTTCCCCTATCCTTTTCCCCCACCCCCACCCTCCTATCCTTACCCATCCACGCATTCCCCCTATCCCTATCCATCACCCCATCCCCCTATCCCTACCCCTCCAAACACCTCCCCCTATCCCTACCCCCCCAACACATCCTCCCTATCTCTACCCCCGACCTCATCCCCCCAATCACTACCCCCCCTACCCCCCCCCTACCCCACACACATATTCCCCCTATTCTACCCACTCCCACACACACACACTCTCCCCCTACCTCCCCCCCCCACCCCTCCCACATTCCCAACCGCGGTGCTGGAAAGCCACGAGAGGTGCATCAATATTTCATTGTTGTAGAAGAATACACTGAGGACAAAAGACCAGTTCATTTATTCTCAAAGGCGCGTTTTTCAGCCTGGCTTCGCTCGACATCACACCAGTTAGCTTTAAAAAAAAAAGACTGATGACTTTGAGCATCGGCATTTTTTTCGTTTTTCTTTCCTTGCATTTTTTTTTTTTATATATATGTATGTGTAAATTTTATATTCGTTGCCGTTTGATGGTTTGGGTCTGTGCGTTTTTTTTTTTTTTTTTTACAGTATGGATAACGGCGTTTTATCTTTTTCAAAAATTATTTACCGCATTTTGTTTTAAGTCATTATTATCATTTATTTGCCTTTTCGGGGGGGTTGATTCACGTATATTTTGGGAATGATGAACAAAAAATAAAAAGGAAGAGGAAGAAGAGGGTGAAAAGAAGGAAAATAAAAGAATCATGAGTGGGGATAAGTGGCTGAAAGAGAATGGGCTGAAGGAAAATGGAATGGCAAAGAGGAGAGAGAGAGAGAGAGAGAGAGAGAGAGAGAGAGAGAGAGAGAGAGAGAGAGAGAGAGAGAGAGAGAGAGAGAGAGAGAGAGAGAGAGAGAGAGAAAGGGGGGGGGGAGAAAGAGAGAGAGGGGAGGGAGAGTGAGAGAGAGAGAGAGAGAGAGAAAGAGAAAGAGAAAGAGAAAGAGAAAGAGAGAGAGAGAGAGAGAGAGAGAGAGAGAGAGAGAGAGAGAGAGAGAGAGAGAGAGAGAGAGAGAGGGGGGGGGGGAGAAAGAGAGAGAGGGGAGGGAGAGGGAGAGAGAGAGAGAGAGAGAGGGAGAGAGAGAGAGAGAGAGAGAGAGAGAGAGAGAGAGAGAGAGAGAGAGAGAGAGAGAGAGAGAGAGAGAGAGAGAGAGAGAGAGAGGAGAGAATGGAATAAGAACGGATATTCAAGAAGAAGAAAGTGGGTGAGGGAAAAAAGGAAAGAAGTGAATAACGGGGTATGAGAGAAAAGAGAAACAAAGAAGGAAACCGAAGGAAGAGAGAGACACGAGACAAGAAGAGAAAACGAAAGTAAAAGAAGAGAAAGCAAACCAGAAAGAAAAGAGATAAAATAGAAAGAAAGAAAAAAAAAGTAAAGAGACGAAGAACGACGTCTGAGAGAAAAGAAAAAACAGAAGAAAAAAAACTAGAGAAGAGAAAAACACGAGCCACGATTTCAAAAGCGATGCAAGACAGAGACCAGAGAGATGAGAAATAAGAGAGAGAAGAAGAAGAAAAAGAAGAAGAAGAAGAAAGAAAGCAAGGAAGGAAAGAGATGAAGAGGGGAGGCCCTGAGGAGGATTTCGAAGTCAAGGGGTCGACGGGAACCGCCTCCAGCAGGGACGGTTCTCTCGCCGGCGCTCCCTCAATGGGCGTGCATTAGCGAGGCCGCCGCCGAGGATACCTTGAGAGAGGGCGGCGTGGGAGGGAGCGTGGGGGGAGGGGGCGGCGTGGGAGGAGGACGGCGTGGGAGGGAGCGTGGGGGGAAGGGGCGGCGTGGGAGGGACCGTGGGGGGAGGGGGCGGCGTGAGAGGGAGCGTGGGGGGAGGACGGCGTGGAAAGGGGGCGTGGGAGGGGGCGGGGAAAGCGGGTGTGGGGGGGGGGGGGGCGTGGAAAGGGGGCGTGGGAGGGGGCGGGGAAAGCGGGTGTGGGAGGGGGAGGGGGAAAGGGGGGTGGGGGAGGGGGAGAGGGAGTTGAGTGGGAGGTGGTTGGTAGTAGGGGGAGGAGAGAGTGAAGAGCGGGGTGGGGGGTGAGTGGGGCGGGGGTTGAAGAGGAGTGGGTTGTGGTGGGGAGGGGTAGGGGAGGGTGAGAGAAGAATGGAGAGGGATGGGAAGAGGGGTTGGCTGGGGGGGGGGGTTGTTTAGGGGGTAGAAGGAGGAGGGGGGGGGGAGAAGAGAGTGAGGAGTGGAGTGGGCAAGAAGATATTGAGGGGGGGGGGGGAGAGAGAGAGAGGAGTAGACTGGGATGGGTGGAGGGGGGGTGAGGAGAGAATGAGGAGAGGGGTGGGGGAGGGGAAAGGAGGGGGTGGGGGTAAGGAGAGGGAATAAGGGGAGAGGTGAGGAAAGAATGAGGAGAGGGGTGAGCAAAAAGAGGGGGAGGGGGGTCAGGAAAGGGAATAAGAGGGGGGGGGGGGGTCAGCAGAGAATGAGAAACGGGCTAGACAATGTGGAATGAAAGGGACGAAGAGGAATGAGTAAGGAGAGTAAGAAATAGAAAGAAAATGAAGATGAAGGGGAAAGAGAGAGAGAATTACGAGCGAATGAAGTAAATGAGGAGCAAAGTAAGTGGGGACTGTCTCAAGGACGAGTTTGGGGGGGGGGGGTGAGGAGAGAAGGAAATGGGGAACTGAGAGGGGGGGGGGGTGAAAGGAGGGATATGAAGGGAGGAGAAGGGGTAACGAAAAGAAGGAAAGGAGAGGGGAGGGTAAAGAGGAATAGGGGCGGGATAACAATAACATGATAATAATAATGGTAATAACAGTAACGATGATAATAGTAATGACAATAACGTTTCCTCCCCAGGGCGTCACGTACCCGGCCTGCCACGGCATCTGGAGGAACTGGGCACCGCCTCTGGAGCGCTCTCGCCTCGCCACCCTGGCCTTCTGCGGGAGTTACGCCGGGGCAGTGCTGGGGATGCCCCTTTCCGCCTGGCTCACGCAGGGCATAGGGTGGCCGGCGCCCTTCTATGTCTATGGTAAATAGCTCTTGCTTTCTTGTATGTTTGTTTTATACGCATTTTGAACGTTAGTGACTTTTAGTGTCCATTTTGTATGAATACTTGATATTGATATCAGAATGTATTAAACTGATGATACAAATGTAATAGGATTATGAAATTGTTAATGAAAGCAATTACATTGATGATTAATCGAATTGATAATAATACTAATCTCAGGGATAATAATGGCGCTTCTAAATAATAGCAATATTGTAAATCTGTCTATCTATCTATCTCTGTCTGCCTGTCTGTCTGTCTCCCTCCCTCCCATTCTTCCACCTCCCCTCTTTTCTACACTCTTCCCTTCCGCCCTCCCTCCCTCATTCCCTCTCTCCTTCCTTCCCTTCCACTTTCCCTCTCTTCTACCCTCCCTCCCTTCCCTCCCTCTCCTTCTCACTCCCTCTCTCCCTTCCACCCTCCCTCCCACCCTCCCTCCCTCCTACCCTCCCACCCTCCCTCCCTCCTACCCTCCCTCCCTCCCTCCCTCCCACTCTCTCTAACCACCCTAAAATACAACACCCTTATACTCCTTGTACTCATAATGGTATCTCCTCCTCCTCCCCCCCTTAGGTATGGTAGGCGTAGGCTGGTACGTGTTCTGGTACTGGTTAGCGTTCGAGAAGCCAGCGACCCATCCAACGATTTCAGCAAGGGAACAGGTTTACATCGAAGAGAGCCTCGGAAAACAGGTGAGGAGAAGGAGAGGAAAAGAGAGTGAATAAAAAGGGGGAATGGGAGAGAGTGAGGAATAAAAAGAGAGTGAATAAAAATGGGAAATGAGAGAGAGTAAGGAATAAGAGAGTCTCGGAACACAGGCGAGGAGAGGGAGAGGAAAAGAGAGTGAATAAAAAGGGGGAATGGGAGAGAGTGAGGAATAAGAGAGTCTCGGAAAACAGGTGAGGAGAAGGAGAGGAAAAGAGAGTGAATAAAAATGGGAAATGAGAGAGAGTAAGGAATAAGAGAGTCTCGGAACACAGGCGAGGAGAGGGAGAGGAAAAGAGAGTGAATAAAAAGGGGGAAATGAGAGAGAGTAAGGAATAAGAGAGCCTTGGAAAACAGGTGAGGAGAGGGAGAGGAAAAGAGAGTGAATAAAAATGGGAAATGAGAGAGAGTGAGGAATAAGAGAGCCTCGGAAAACAGGTGAGGAGAGGGAGAGGAAAAGAGAGTTAATAAAAATGGGAAATGAGAGAGAGTAAGGAATAAGAGAGTCTCGGAACACAGGTGAGGAGAGGGAGAGGAAAAGAGAGTGAATAAAAGGGGGAATGGGAGAGAGTAAGGAATAAGAGAGCCTCGGAAAACAGGTGAGGAGAGGGAGAGGAAAAGAGAATGAATAAAAAGGGGGAAATGAGAGAGAGTAAGGAATAAGAGAGCCTTGGAAAACAGGTGAGGAGAGGGAGAGGAAAAGAGAGTGAATAAAAATGGGAAATGAGAGAGAGTGAGGAATAAGAGAGCCTCGGAAAACAGGTGAGGAGAGGGAGAGGAAAGAGAGTTAATAAAAATGGGAAATGAGAGAGAGTAAGGAATAAGAGAGTCTCGGAACACAGGTGAGGAGAGGGAGAGGAAAAGAGAGTGAATAAAAGGGGGAATGGGAGAGAGTAAGGAATAAGAGAGTCTCGGAAAACAGGCGAGGAGAGGGAGAGGAAAAGAGAGTGAATAAAAATGGGAAATGAGAGAGAGTAAGGAAAAAGAGAGTCTCGGAAAACAGGTGAGGAGAGGGAGAGGAAAAGAGAGTGAATAAAAGGGGGAATGGGAGAGAGTAAGGAGTAAGACCGGCTAAGCGAACCTCGGAAAACAGGTGAGAAGAGGGAGAGGATATCTCTATCTATCTATCTATCTATCTATCTATATATATATGTATATATATGTATGTATATATGAATGTATGTATGTATGTATGTATGTATGTATGTATGTATGTATGTATGTATGTATGTATATATGTATGTATGTATGTATGTATGTATGAATGTATGTATGTATGTATGAATGTATATATGTATGTATACATTTATGTATATATGTATGTATATAAGTATGTATGTATGTATGTATATATGTATGCAACTGCCTACCTACCCGCTTATCTACGTACCTACCTATCTGTCTATCTAACTATATATCCATCTATCCATTCAACAACAAAAATCTTCTTCTCCCCCCCTCCCCCCCACAGCAAACGTCGCAGCCCACCTTCGCCACGACCCCCTGGCTGGCCTTCGCGACCTCCCTGCCGGTGTGGGCGATCATCGTGGCCAACATCGCCAGGTCGTGGACGTTCTACCTGCTCATCATCTCGCAGCCGACGTACTTCAAGGAGGTCTTCAAGTACGACATCGCTAAGGTATGGTGCTTTTTTTTTTTGGTGGGGGGTAGGGGGAGTGGGTGGGGTGGGGGGGGAAGGGGAGTGGGGGAAGGGGAGTAGGGAAGGGGATGGGGAGGGGGAGAAAGGAGAGGGAACTGGTGGTGAATGGGTGAAAGTGTGTGTGTGTGTGTGTGCGTGTGTGTGTCCATTGATTGTTTAGTATATATATAGTCTTGATGAAGAAATAATCTTTACAGCATTCCTAAATCAATGAAATACAATGTATTGATTTCTGGATATGATATATCCACATTTTTCTTCTCTTCCCCCTCTTTCACTCCGTACTTTTCGCCTTCTTCTTCTACCTGCCCCTCCCCCCCTCCCCCTCCCTGTCCCTGTTACTCCTCTCCCTCCTTTTTCACTCTCTTTTCGACCCCCTCCTCTTCCCCTCTTCCTTATTGTCCCTCTTCACTTCCTCCTCCTCCTTCCTCCTTTTTGCTCTTCCCATCCTCCGCTTCCTCCTCCTCTTCTTCTCCCTCCTTTCCCTCATCCTCCTTCATGTCCCGCTCCACTTCCTCTTCTTCCTCCTCCTTTTCCTCTTTCCATTTCATCCCGCTTCTTCTTCGTCCTCCTCCCTCCTCCCCTCTCCTTCTCGTACCCCTCTTTCCTTACTCCTCCCCCATTCTCATCCCCTCCTCTCCCCCTCTCTTCTCGTCCCCTTCCTCCTTCCCCACCCCTCCTTTTCTTCCTCCCCTCCCCTCTCTCACCTGCTATGCACCCCCTTCCCTTCTGACCCGTCGGTGTCTCCCCCAGAGCGGCACCGTGTCCGCCCTGCCCCATCTGGTGATGACGATCGTCGTGCCCTTCGGCGGTCAGCTGGCCGACTACTTCCGAAAGAACAACATCCTGTCGACGACCAACGTGCGGAAGGTCTTCAACTGCGGCGGCTTCGGGATGGAGGCCGTGTTCCTCCTCGTCGTCGCCTTCACGAGGGACACGACCATCGCCATCACTTCGCTCACCCTGGCCGTGGGCTTCTCTGGCTTCGCTATATCGGGTGAGTGGACCGACTTGGATCTCTGGCTTTCCTTCCGACGGCGGCAGGAGGTAGTGTCGCTGTGTTGTTAGGATAGAATAAATATCTTTATTTATAGATGAGGTTTGTTAAAATGAGATGTAATGATTTCGACAAGCTCCATTCCAGGGAGATTTTGAAACTGTTGCTTTATCTCTCAGTAAACCTGTTTTACTAATAGGGAGTTTCAAGTTGCTATTTACTGGCATCACATTAAGGGGTTAAATGGGAAAGGATATGTTACATTAATTTCTCCAGAATGTTTACTACCTAAAAGCAGAAAACAAATTCAGGGTCCGAGTTTTACATTAAATGTAAACCAGTATTTGGTCTTCTTATATAACTATATTAACGATGAAATCAATTCTTCTCGGCCCCATGGTATCACAACTTTTTGCAAGAAACACAAAGTTTCCACGGAAGAAAAAAATAAATAAAAAAAGAAAAGAAAAAAGACGTGCTACCTGTCTCTGGTTTATAATGATTTATGGTAATCTAGACTATGACCTCAGACCAAGGATATGCTTATAGGGCCTAGGATGGGGAGGAAGAGGAGGCGGGAGGGGGAGTTAGAGCTCTCGAGATTAACGTCCGGAGATCAAGCCTCTGGCAACCCCACAGAAACTGACTCTTTGTCTTTGGGGTCAATCCATCACACTCTTTTTTAAGCTCTAACAAGGAACTTTCACACTCCCTAGATCTTCGTCAGGTCGAGAAATAGGCATAAGACTAATGGATTTAGACACAAAAAAAATGCTTCCTGGGCGCTCCATCGGCCGTGTTCCTCCTCGCCGTCGGCTTCACGAGGGACACGACCGTCGCCATCATCGTCCGTTTCTCTTATCTCTCTGTCGTCCCCCGCTAACCCGAAGGAAAGAAAGAAAACTGAAAGAAAGAATGAGCCCCAACACCCACCTCCCTTATTCCCTCTACCATACCTTCTAAGCAGAGGGAGAGACCCCCAACATCCACTTCCCTTCCTCTCCCTCACCCCCACCAGAGAGAATGAAGTCCAAAACGCTCCAACACTAAGTAGAGGGAGAGAGAGAAGGCCAAGAAACCCCAACAGCCGCCCCCCTCCCTCCCCGTCATCCCTCCTAAATTGAAGGAGAGAAAGGCGCCCAATTCAAAGAGGCAGTTCCCGAAGGAGCGCCCCAGAGTGCCACTGTCTCCCATCATCGCCGACTCAACTTATCAGATCGATTCCATCAGGATTAATTAACACTCGGACACCCCCCCCCACACACACACACACCCCTCACTAAGCGAAATTCCCGGCGCATCTATCTACCACCTGCCAGGACTTCATTTTAACTTTTTTTTCTTTTTTTTTCTTTTTTCTTTTTTTGTCCCCCCTCTTCCAGCCTCGGTGTTCATTCTGCGAAGTGTGTTTATCCTCAGAGGGAAAAGTTCTCTCTGTTTTTGTCTCCCTCTCTTTTCCTCTCCTCACTATTTTTTTTTTTTTTTTTGTGCGTGTCTCTTAGATAACTTTTTTTTTTCTTCCTCGCTTCCTCCCTCTCGCTTTACTATACGGAGTAAAGACTTGATTAGCTAGCCTTGTCAAACCTTATTTGTCTGCTTCCAATGCCCTGCAAATTACTAATTGATGAAGAAATTAAGATGAAAACGATCACGAATAAAAAGACAACAACATATTATTAAGAGATAAAAAACAAGTAAGAAAAAAGCCAAACCCTTGATTTAGAGGTGACCTGTGACAATAGATATTCATAAAAAAAGGTGTTTAATACTCGTGCTCATCGATTATCGCCAAAGCCATTCCCGAGGCATAATCAGGGAGTCGATATTCTACGTTCAAGCGGCGATACTGTTTTAACTCGAGGACGCATCATTATTTATGTTGTTATATTTAGATGGAAAGGGTGTGGAATGGGAAGAGACAGGTTAAAGAGAGAGAGAGAGAGAGAGAGAGAGAGAGAGAGAGAGAGAGAGAGAGAGAGAGAGAGAGAGAGAGAGAGAGAGAGAGAGAGAGAGAGAGAGAGAGAGAGAGAGAGAGAGAGAGAGAGAGAGAGAGAGAGAAAGAGAGAAGGGGCTAGTCAATGAGAAGAAAATGATAGAGAATTAAAAGAAAGGGAATGAATCGGCGAATAAGGCAGAGGGATATTGAGTGAGAGAGAGAAAGAGAGAACAAGCGAATGAGAGATAAAAAGAAACACGGAGAATGTACAAGGCAAGGAGCTGGCGAGCAAGACAGACAGAAAAAAAAAAAAACACAAGCAAGAAAGCAGGAGATAGGAGAAAACAACAACAGTAAGAGAATGAATGAGCCATATAGACAGAAAGAGTAAGAAAGAAAGAGATAAGGAAATGAAAGAAAAGAAATAAGCAAGACAATGAACGAGCGAGAGCGATAGAAAGAGAGAAAGAAAGAAAGAAAGAGATAAGGAAATTAAATGAAAAAGAAAGAAGCAAGAGAATGAACGAACGACAGCGACAGAAAGAGAGAAAGAAAGAAAGAAAGAGATAAGGAAATTAAATAAAAAAGAAAGACGCAAGAGAATGAGCGAGCGAGAGCGACAGAAAGAGAGGCACAATGGGCGAGCGACGCGAAGGGCCGGCGCGAGAGGCGAGCGCTTCGAGGGCCAGCCGAGTAGGACCTCGAGTGCGGCCGAGAGCCCCGCGGAGTCTCATCGCGCCAAGATTTACCTCGGCTCCTCGGCGTAATAACTCCAATTTCCGCATTAACTCCATTACGGGAAACTTTTACAAGGACCTTTTACGCGGGGGGAAACTTTCCCTTTTAGACCGAGTTGTAAATGTAAATCCAATTTTGCTGAGAGTAAAATTCTACCTCTCGGCATTTTTGCTTTAGACTCTCCCCCTCATTCCTTCCTCCCTCTCATCATCTCCCTCCCATTCCTCCTCCCTCCCTCTTCCCTTCTTCGCCCTCCCTCTCTCCCTCCCCCCTCCCTCTTCCCTTCTTCGTCCTCCCCCTTTCCTCCTTCTCTCCCTCCCCCGTCCCTCTTACCTTCTTCGTCCTCCCCCTCTCCTCCCTCTCTCCCTCCCCCGTCCCTCTTCCCTTCTTCGTCCTCCCCCATCTCCCTCCCCCGTCCCTCTTACCTTCTTCGTCCTCCCCCTCCCCCTCCTTCCCCCTCTTTTCTCCTCCCCCTCCTTCCCCCTCTTTCCTCCTCCCCCTCAATTTTCGGGCTCCTGTCGTATCATAAGTCAGCCTTTTTGTAACCTCCCGTCGTTACTGTAGTACAAATCATCCTCTTTGTAACATCAGACTGCACAATAAGTCAACTTTCTGGGCTCGGGTTGCCATACCGAAATATGTCAGGGAAGATCAAATAAGATAGACAAGAAAGACGAAATTTTACATATCGATCTTGAAAAGAAAGAAAGAGAGAGAGAGAGAGAAAAAAAAAAACATACATACTTGTCATAAAAAAAGATAACACAGAGGCCGAAAATAGTGTCATTTTCTCATGACAGTATAACAAACCCGATCCTTATATACTGGAACCAACAAGAACCCCTCCTTTAACAGCCCCTTGTCAAGAATAACAGTCTCGTTCTCCTCCGTACGACCTCTCCCCTCGTCAAGAACAGGGGGGAGGGGAGGGAGGGAGGGAGGGTCAAATGAAGGGAGAGAGGGAGGAGAGAGGCAAGGGAGGGAGGGATGGTGGGAGGGAGAGGGGAGGGAGGGAGGGTCAAATGAAGGGAGAGAAGGAGGAGAGAGGCAAGGGAGGGAGGGAGGGAGGGATGGTGGGAGGGAGAGAGAAGGGAGGAGGGTCAAATGAAGGGAAGGAGGGAGGAGAGAGGCAAGGGAGAGAGAGAGGGTGGGAGAGGGGAGGGAGGGAGGGTCAAATGAAGAAAGAGAAGGAGGAGAGAGGCAATGGAGAGAGGGAGGGATGGTGGGAGGGGAGAGAGAGGGAGTTATGGAGGGTGGAAGAGAGGAGGATGAAAAGGGAGAGAGAGGGGGAGGGGGACATAAGAAGGAAGAGAAAGAGAAGGGAGGGAGGGAAGGTAGAGGAGACGAAGGGGGAGGAAGGGAAAGAAGAGGGAAATGAGAAGGAGAAGGGGAGAGGAGAGGAGAGTCATGAGGAGGAGGAAGAGGGGGAAATGAAAAAGGGGGCGGAGGAACAGGAAGTAGACAAAGGGTAGGAGGAAGAGGGGGAGAAGGAGGTGAAGAAAGAGAAGGAAAGAGGAAAAGAGTACAGGAAAGAAGAAGGAGAAGAAGTAGGTGGGAATGGAAAGCGGAAGAAAGAGAAACAGGGAGGAGGAAGAGGAGCAAGAGGAGAGGGGAGAGGAGGAAAGTTGGAGAGAGAGGGAGGTGGACGATTCACGAAAGGATGATGAGGAGAAAAAGTTGGAAATGGAAAGAGGGAGAGAGAGGAGCAGGGACGAAAGCAGGAGAGAGGAGGAAGAGGAAAAGGAAGAGGAGGAGGAAGGGGAAGAGGAAGAGGAGGAAGAAAAAGAGGAGGAAGAGGAGAAGGAGGATGAAAAAGAGGAAGAGAAAGATCAGGAGGAGAAGAAAGAGGATGAAAAAGAGGAAGAGGAGGAATAGGAGAAAAAGAAGGAAGAGGAAAAAGAGGAAGAGGAGGAGGAGGAGGAGGGCGTCGTTAAGGAGAGGCCATGCGGGGTAGCGAGAGCAGGGTCGTCTGTCCCGCTCGCCCGCCGAAGCCCATTGATTAGCCCCGTCAGGAGACCCCTAATGGCCCCTCCAGTCCTCGCCTTATCAGCTATGACATCCACGCTTTTTCGGTGCAGGAGGAGGCGCCGCCCACGAGTGGCAGGACCGACGGCAGGGGGGAGGGTGTATAGGTGGGGGGACCTTGGGTGGGGAAGAGAGGGGGAGAGGGGAGTGGGTAAGAGAGAGGGAGAGGGGAGTGGGTTAGCGAAGGGTAGGGAGGAGAGGGTAAGAGAGGGGGAGAGGGGAGAGGGTAAGAAAGGGGGAGAGGGGATTGGGTAAGAGAGGGGGAGAGGGGAGAGGGTAAGAGAGGGGGAGAATGGAGTGGGAAAGCGAAAGGAGTGGGTAAGAGAGGGGGAGAGGGGAGAGGGTAAGAGAGGGAGAGACGAGAATGGGTAAGAAAAGGAAAGACGACAATGCCTAAAACAGGGGGGAATGGAGAATAGGTAAGAGAGGGGGAGAGGGGAATAGGTAAGAAGGGGGAGGGGGAAGGGAAGGTTAAGGGAAGACTAACCTTGAGCTGAATCGTGTGACACGATGGCTTCTTTGGCGCTTTGGGAAAGGTCGGTAAAAAAAAGGAAAGTCTTTAACACGCGCGGACGGGAGAGAGGCAGGCAGATCTTTATCCAAGACGCATGATAATTATTCCACTAATGAACGTGATAATTACCTTACATGAAAATAATAACAGATCAATTCATCAATTAGGAAAAAAAATCTAAGATTCATCAACTTACAATTAACAGCCACCAAGCAAATCTTCCTGCCAACCATTCTAACGAAGTACTCCAACACCATTCCAGTCAACCATTACAACCCACCATTCCAAACCACCCATTCCAACCCACATATTCCAGTCCAACCATTCCAACCCACCATTCCTCACGGGTCAACGACAAAGGAACCGCGGACGCCGAGTACCGCTGCACTTGTACTCTCGCTTGATTAACAATCTTTTGTAGCCGACACGATGCGTTCCGGCTCATTTGTTGCTCGGCGGCGCAGACTGTCTCTCACCCCTTCTCGCACGGCGTCGCCCTCCCTCGCGCAAGCCGGGCTGCCGGCTTCGGAGGCTTCGCTCGTCCGCTCGGGAGCAAACATACGAAAGTACATACTGTACGTAAAACAAGAAGAAGAAGAGAGAGAGAGAGAGAGAGAGAGAGAGAGAGAGAGAGAGAGAGAGGACGGAGGGACGGAGGGAGAGAAAAAGAGACAAGAGATACAGATAGAACTAGAAACAGATAGATAGATAGATAGAGAGGGGGTGGAGGAGGGTTAGAGACGGTATTGTAGCAATTACTGAAGAAAGTGCTTCTGGTTCTGTTCCAAAAGAACTGAAAGCTATTTTTACAACGGATTGCAATTTCCCAGTTGCAATCTACTTTCGAAATTGCGTAGCGAAATAAAAATACATACATATTACATATACATATCTACAGTACTTACATGCGCATATAAGCATATATTCTAGGCCATATACTATATTTAATTATGTAACTGGGTATTAGCTAACTGATTATCCGTAAAACTAGGTAATTAGGTAATTTTTTTTTCGGAACTGTTAAAAGCGGTCTTAATGACAATATAACGGGAGCATTAACAAGTTCCACCCACATATAGGGTCTGCTTAATGTTTGCCGTCGTTAGGAAAGAGTCGATTAGTAAAAACTTCACTACTGAAATTAAAAGAACGAATTCCGTTTTCTTCCGAGTGCGCGAGCTATTCCCGTTTTCTTTTTTTTTATTCTGTCGAAGCGTGGACTATATTAAACACGCGGCTAGTCACTGAATGTTTTTTTTTTCATCGATCCGTTTTGTCCATCGATTGAACAAATTTGTGCAGACGACTGAGCAAGGTTATTACCTGGGCACGCGGCGTCCTCAGGTTAATCCAATCAGCTTGGGATTTAATGTCGGAGGGAACAAGAGGGGAAAGGAATGGGAGGGGGAGGGGGGGAGGGTTAGGCTGGGTGGGAAAGTAATCTTTTTGTGCTGACTTACACTAGTGTGTGTGTGTTTGTTTGTGTGCGTGTGTGTGTGTTTGTTTGTTTGTGTGTGTGTGTGCGTGTTTGTATGAGTGTGTGTGTGTGTGTTTGTGTGTGTGTGTGTGTATGTGTGTGTGTGTGTGTGTGTGTGTGTTTGTTTGTGTGTGTGTGAGTGTACGTGTGTGTGTGTGTATGTGTGTTTGCGTGTGTGTGTGTGTATGTGCGTGTGTGCGTGTGTTTGTTTGTGTCAGTATGCTACATCTTTCAACAGATCTTTCAAAACATAAACATGTGCTGTGAGAAGTGACCAAACATTTCGCATTACTATCATTTAATAAACTACATTCAAATTAACTACGCTTAACCTCTTACAACTTGCAACACGAAAAATATTAGCATATATTGTTAATTATTTCCCATTTCCAATTGGCGGGCAATTCAAACTGATCTTTTGAAGAAAAAAAAATCATTATCTCAGTCACTGATATTTAATTAACAAAAAAATAAATGAGTTGATGAAGTAAATAATAATTTAATTAATTAATATATAAATGATAAAAAACAGTAAAGAACATTTATTAATTGTAAAAACATAATCCTTTGAAAAGTCTAATAAAATCGTAATGAATTGTGATAATAATGACATCTGTAATTATGAGGATAATAACAATAATGGCAATAATGATAATGGAAATGGTAAAATGGTAGTAATAATAATAATGGTAATGATGATAATGATGATAATGATAATAATGATAACAATGATAATAATAATGATAATGATGGTAATGATAATAATCATAATATTGATAATAATAATGATAATAATGATAATGATAATAACGCTCATATTGATAATAATGATAATGATGATAATGATGATTATTATGATGATGATAATAATAATAACAATAACAATAATCATATTTAATAATAATAATAATAATAATAATAATAATAATAATGATAATAATAATGATAATAACAAAAACAATGATCATAATAATGATAATGATAATAATGATGATAATAATAATGATAATAATAATGATAAACGAAAATAATGATAATGATAATAATAATGATAATAATAATGATAATAATAATGATGATAATTATAATAATAATAATGATAAACGAGAATAATGACAGTGATAATGGTAAAAATGATAATAGCAACAATAGTGATGATACCATTGATACTTATAATAACAACAGCAACAACAACAACAACAACGATGATAAAAATTATGATAATATTGATACTAATACTAATATTAATGATAAGGATAATAATAATAAAGATAATGGTAATGGTAATGATACTAAAGAAAATTATAATCATGATAATAATGATAATAG